TAAATCTAAATTCAACTGCAATATGAAAGAAGTGAGCTAAAGAAACAAAAAGGGACGAGAAATTATAGGGAGATCAGTCCCATGCAATCTAAGAGTGGCAATCCGACTAAAAAATAAATGTGCTATTTGGCTTGTGAGTAGACAATACAAGAGGAATTGAAAAGGAAATCTGTGACGATTTTAATGCTCCAACAGCAAAATCACTCAAACTCCACAACCAAACAGAGCCTTAAGGGAATAAAAGTTTGCCTTATATATTCTGCTGAACAGAAGTCATGATACTACTGGACAAAATTAAGACATAGGGGCAAAGATTTTTCCATGGGACCAATTGAATTTCCAAGAAGGTGGCCCACACACAAGTCAAGAATTGAGGCACACCCAGAATGGGTCTGATCTGTAATGATAAACAAAAAATCATCTCAACCACATTTTGGAAGACGCTGATGCTTTCCAGTACTCTCTCCAGAATTTCAATATAAAGTCATTCATCAATTTCAAAGCACGACTGTGAAATCTGTGATAACAGAAAGCATACTGTAGCTAAAACACAATATCAGCACCCAATAAACATGGACTCAACATCTGCTAAATTTACTTACTTTAAAAATTGGAGCCTTGAAATTTTAAGATCCAAAATTCCTCAAGCCTCAGTTATGACTACAAAAGAATAAATATGGTCAAGATTGCATAGTTATAGGGTTGCTAACAAGTAAAGAGCTAACAATTGGTAATTACCTGATTCGTATTCTTCAATTTCTTGCATAGTTTCTTCAACTTCGATTGGAAGTGGTGAAGCCCATAACCAATCTTGTGCACATATCAAGCACTCCACAAGTTTGGGCGTTAGAGAACTACGGAATTGATCAAGAACACGACCTCTAGTGCTAAAAGCGGATTCAGAGGAAACTGTAGACACAGGAATAGCCAAAAAATCTTTAGCAACTTGAGCTAACACTCTATACCTGGAGCAATTCAATTTCCACCAACTCAATATTTCAAAACTTGGGACACACTTCTCACAGGATTCCTCCAAATATCTATCCACCTCAGATTTGCAATCCATATCGTTTTCTTCTTCCAAGTACTTTTCAAACATAGAGTCAAGAAAGTGTTCTTGCTCACGTGCTTCTCCAAGTGGTTGATCAACCGCCATTCCATTTGAATTTTGAGTCAAGGTGGCCAAAGATGAATTAAGCGAGTCATACAATTAGTACTCAGCAAAAACATGACTCATAGCCTCTTTTACCCTATGTGTTAGCTCATCTACCTTGTGAGGAGGATAAAGTTTACCAGAGCAAAACTTCACATACTTCATTTTGAAACGAGGAATCAACACGAGCAACCAACAACATTATGTCCATTTTTTCAATGCTCCAACAATACTTGTCAAATTTGCTCTTCATTCTAAAGGCCATGGAACTTAAACAAGTATCCGAACTTTTTGCCCACTTGGATAAAAGACTTTCAATTCCAATTACTTCTTGAAAATATGAATTTGAAGTGACATATAAACATCCAGACAACCATAAAGCTGTATCATAAATTTTTTGCAAGAATTTGGCCAAAAGTCGAGCATCATCCCAATCACTCTTCGATGGAGGTTCATTACCAAGTTCCAACTTGTAATGTGGATCTTCCTCCTCTAACCTCTCAAATGCCTTTTGAACTTTTAATGCCGTTTCTAACATTAAAAATGTGGAGCTCCACCTAGTTTGTACATCAAGGCATAAAACACTTTTACTTGCTATTCTCTCTTTCTCTATACATGCCTTAAAATGTTGTTCTCGTTGTGGAGAACTCTTAATATACCTCACAGCCTCACGAATACGAGTTATTGAATCCTTAATGTTATTTAACTCATCATTCACAATAAGATTCAATATGTGAGCAGAACACCTCATGTGAAAACATTCTTTTCGCAAAATTTTCTTTTCAAGTAAGCAATAGCATCATCATTGGAACTTGCATTATCAACTGTGAGAGTGCATAATTTATCAAGACCCCATTCAATTAAACATGCCTCAACTGCCTGACCAATTGCCTCACCTTTGTCACTCGAAATCACACAAAAGTTTAGAATCCTTTTATGCAATTTCCAGTCATTATCAATAAAGTGAGACGTTAGGCACATGTAAGAGAGGTCCTGCAGCGAGGTCCAACAGTCTACAGTGAGAGAAATTCTTTGATTTGTTTCTTCCAATATGTTCCTCAACTTCTTCTTCTCTCTAAAATACATTGTCAAACAATCCCTAGTCCGTGACACGAGCTTAAATTCAGGTTGCAACACACTACAAAAACTACGGAATCCTTCATGCTCCAGAAACTTAAAAGGCAATTTATCTATTATGATCATCTTAGCAAGTGCATACCTACACAACTCCTGGTCAAATTTACAAAGATGGTTACTATTGGAGCTTTCTTCTTCTCCCACCATTTGAAACGATTGGAGCTTTTGTTTTTTGTCTAGGTGGTATGGATATTTGAGACACCTAGTAACATGTTTTTTTAACATATTAGTCTCGTTAATACTCTCCCGCGCATAAATTGCATTACAGTAATTGCATTTGGCACCCTCAGGTTTCCCTTCCTCCTCAAATTTAGTAAAGTGATCCCAAACATCAGATTGAAAGGCATTTTCTTTAGAAGTGCATACCTTCTTTCGAGATGGAGAGGTGGAAACATTGGTGGCAGTATCAGGATTCTTACTGACACTGCAATTATCTCCAGTAGTTGACATCTAAAATTAAAGAAAATTAAGCATTCTTACTTGGTGATTTACTAGAAAATCAGTTCTCATTTATTAATAGAAATATTAAAAGCTAAGCAACCATGCACTAGAATTTTTAGATATTATCAAATAATAAAATTAGAGTAATAAGAAATGAAACTCTTGCCCACTGAACAAACTATAAACTCAGATTATCAAATCATTAAAAATTCTTAATCTTGTATATATGGTTATATCTTTACTCCAAGGGGATCAAAATTGGTGTTTAACAAGAGGTAATTAAATGTTAGATATATAAAAATATATAGATGAGTATTGAATGGAATATAACTATATGCTATATGCTGAAAGAACTAAGTAGTTTATAGATTTCGTGGAGAGCCTTTTAAAAAGTTTAACAAAAAAAATGCAATTATCGTGAGACTTTAATAATAATATTATTCAGAAGAATCTAACAAGAAAAAACACATATACATACAAATCCAGATAAGGAAAAAATAAAATAAAATAAACTGAATTTCTCACATTTTTTCTCAAAATTTTTGTGTGCGTGTTTGTGTGAAGAGTGAAGACAGAGAGAGAGACTCACCGGACAACAAGTTCAATCATCGGCCGGAGAAGATGGTGGATGTCACCGGAAAAAATGGTGAGCCGCGTTGAGAGCGAGAGAGGCGAAGAGTAATAAGTATTAGGTCAATGGGTTGGGACCCTATGTGTAGAAGATTAACGGTTCCGGTTCTTTGGCGCCAAACCTTGAACCGAACCGAACTGACAGTAATTTGAAACCGAACTAACGTTTTTTTAGTTAAAACTGAACCAATGTTTTTTGAGTAACGATAGGGGAACCGAAAAGGAATCCCCGAATAAGTTTGGAATTTAATGTGATTGACTACACTTATCACTTGTTAAATAATATTTTTTTGGAAACTGTTCAAATAGGTGAGGTAAACACAAAACATGTCAGATTCGGGGTTTATTCGAAAAAATCATTCGGTGATCCTATCATTTTCCATGTTTTTTTAGTTAAAACTGAACCAATGTTATATACAAAATGTTTACAATTTTTAATTTTGAAATTTCGGCTTAAACATATACCAGTTCATGTCCTAATTCTGTAAACTTTTATTAATTGTACAATCATGTAGTTATATAGTTTAATTAATCATTGTTAGCAAAAATAGCATTTGCAGATTTTTCATCAAGAGCATACGCATCTTTTCATTACTAATTTACGATCTTGTATTTATTTTTTTTTTTTTTTTTTACATTTCAATTTTATAAACTTAGTGTCATATTTCTTCTAGTAATATCTTATTCTCTGAGGATGATATATTAAAATTGTGTACTAAACACAACATAAAATTAATTTAAATATTATTGAGTTGGACAAAGTGAGAAACACACTTTTTAATGTTTATATTTTAGACAAATATAAGTCTATTATATTTTTTATTTTAAATAATGAACAAGGAAGGGCTTGAGATCATTATTTTACTAAAAATTTAGTTATGCATTGCATATTACATTTTTAAAATATAAAATTCTAAAAAAAAATTATATACATTAATAAATTAATAACTTGTCTAAAATTAATAAATAAATTATTTTTGTTAAATTTTAATATTTTTTTTCTTTGTAAATATTTTACAATAATCAAACACCAAAAAATAAAAAAATATTTTACATCCAAACAAAGAGAGAGCTTACATTTAAAATATAAGTGTGTTTATTAGGATGAAAAAATTTTTGATATAAAATTCTGACAAAAAATGTTTTTAGTCAGTTGCACATGACGTTTTCCCTATATATCAGTTATATATATTACAATTTTTTGCCTAAATATAGTTTTCTTGCCTAGTATAATACATTAATACCTGCGGTCAAAAGTAGATCCATTCATATCCAGATGAATAAAGATCAATTATAACATGTCACATATACTTATATTTTCCGTGCATGTCAAAATAGGCAACCCAATTCTAAACTGCTACACTGCATAGAACACACACAAGTGTGATATACATCTAAACATATATGTATATATATACACAAACACAGCACATGAACATGCATGATCATGTGTATACACATAAACATACAAGAAAATATCCATTCGAACCACACCATGGAATGGGTAAATTGCTTCTTACCTAAATAGCATGATCGCAAGCGAGATCGCAATAAAATCCCTTTTTAAGATGATGCAGATGAAAACCATGTCACTGCCTAACAGAACAGCAAATATAAAATTAAAGAACAATATAAGATATGTGGTCCAAAATCTCCAATTTAACAAAATTGCAAAAAAACAGTTCAAGCCCTCAGCAAGTCAATCACCGGAAAAAGCAGTAACAAAATGAAAAAAGCACACAGACTAAGTTCTCAAAGAACATTTCAGAGGCATAAAACACAATCACTTAAATTGATCCGACAAAAGCCAAAATTTGAATGGTGTGTATTATTATGCCTTGAGGCGCCCATAGATCTTCTGCTTCTCTTGTGTAGTTTGGAAGCGACCATGTCCGAATTTTGAGGAGGTGTCAATGAACTTGAGTTTGATTTCCTCGAGGGCCACACGAGATGTTTGTGTTAGCAGAGACTGGCGAAGGGTGACAACCCTCTTCTTTGGCCCAACACAGCATCCTTTGATCAACAAGTAATCATCCTTCACCACACCATAGTGAGGAAAGCCACCCATGGGAGTGATGTCTTTCTCAGTCCTGATTCACAATTAATGAGAGAGAAAATGAATAATAATAATTAAAAAGTAAAAACACCAATTGGCATTATATGAACAAAGTGACTGACTTCAGAACTACACCAAATAATGGCCTTTTGACCCTTCTTTTACCTAACAAAGAACTGGACTCACTGCAGGCTCCAAAATTGGAGTGCCGAGCAGTCAAGCCACATAAAAGGAAATATTTTTTTATGATTAAGGAATAAATAGAAATCCTTGCATAATCTTGTTTCCACTTCAACTTTTTGTTTTTTTCCCACCATTAATAGATAGTGATGATGTGGTTTTGCAGTAGGGATTTAGGGGGCACTCATGCATGAGGTCTGCTGTGATAAATTGAAACAGTACAGAACAGTTAATGTAGGAGGTGACAGGATCTCAGACAACCATGCCAATTTCAGATGAAGAAACAAATAGATGCAAATCATAAAAAACAAGAAGAAATAGAAAGAGTTCAAACATCATCCATAACTTTAATGACTTGAAATCAATGCCATGAGTTCTTTAACTCCGTCTAGCATTTCGAACCACCATCCTTTCCTCTTTAAAATTAGCATAAAATTCGTGAAAACTCAGCAGAAGCACTAACCTGTCAAACTCAGTAATCGCAGTGTGAGATTCCAGCCCAGCCTTGCCGAGTTTGTATATCTTTTTGTTCATTTCAGTTCGGTGATGATATCCATTCTGTCCTGCCCTCGCGACTGTGAAAGAGACTCTAGCAGGATGCCAGGCACCAATACATGCCACCTTCCGCAGACCCCTATGAGTCTTACGGGGAAGGCGGGTGACACCCCATCGAGTGACGACACCTTCATAACCTTTACCCTTTGTCACACCAATTATGTCAATCATCTCATCCTTACCGAAAACAGCATCCACAGGAATTTGCTTCTCAAAGAAGCCGTAAGCAAAGTCCACTTTCTGAGCAATAGTACCACCATTGACCTGGATCTCCATCAAGTGTGCCTTTTTCTGCTTCAACCCCTTCATTTTCCTAATCTGTAACAAATATTATGAAGGAAAAAAAAAATTAAAAAAATAAGAACTTGTAATTGGACATTGTGTTGATTGGGAAGGATGAATGTGAATATTCAATCATTAAGTAACCATCAATGAGAAAACCACTGTCAAAATGGATAATCAAAAAAGAAACAGGAAACACACAAGATTATGTAGTGGTTGGGAAATTATGTAACCACATCAGGCAAGGGAAAAACCTTACAAATATAAAAATACCCTATTTGCCTCTAATAAAATAGATAAATCTGCTCTGCTATTAGTTACCATCAACTTCCAAATTGTAAGGATACTTCCGTCTTTCTACCGAAAGAAAAAGAAAGAACATAACCAGGATCTTGCCATACTTTCATATCATGAAACGGGTTTGAATATGAAATTAAATTAAACACCACAAATAATTCTAGGAAAAAATAACTTGGCCAAATGAGTTGAATACGTGAGGTAACAGTTCAAACAATTGAATATTAACACTAGTGTGACCCAAAACACATGACAGTTGCATATTAGTACCTGGGTGTGAGCCAAAACACGTATGACAGTTGCATATTTTTTCATCTTTTCAAGCTGTGAATGGATATCTTTCTTCCCTTCTTCAGACTCAAACTTCTTTGAGTATTTAGTAAAAGCCTTCTTCTTGGACTTGCACCAGTTCTTGTAGAACCTCCTCCTCAGGTCCTCACTAAGATGCTGAGCCCAAACAGTGTTCAAAGAACGAAGGCCACGTGGTGTCTTCACATAAGCCACCACTCCAACAATGACCATTGGAGGAGTTTCAATAATCGTAACAGCCTCGCAGGTCTCTTTCTTATGAAGCTCTATACACAAATATAATCAGATGCAACATTAATAATGAAACTTCATAGTCTAAGAATATCCAACAGTAATAGATATGCCAAGTGTGAATCTAGTAGAAGAAAATGAAACTTCTTAATTTTTTCTATCCTGGCAAATAACATGCATCCACATGCACCTCTATGGGGGGACTTGAACCCTCAAACTTCCACTTTGGAAGGCGAAGAAGTACCACTATGGAAGAAAATGAAACCTTAGGACTTCAAAAACAATGGATACACGAAACATTAAACTAGAATAGTGACATATTACACAAATATTGTGGATTCTGTATATTAAGATTAAAATAGATAGTTTTTATCATCTCTCATCATGCTAAATAATAAATCATGGCACCATAACGTTTTCAAGCCCCAAGAAAAAGACTTTGAAAAAAAACTACAGAATATATAATTCAAACGGTCATCAAAACGTGTACCATTGTAAATCAAACAAAATAAATAGATTACAAAGAAATTTGAGTTACACTGGTTCAAGGTCAATATTAGACTTGGGCAAAGAATTCAAGCATTTAACTAGTGATCATTTTTTTAACTTTGGAGTCTTACAGCATAAAAAAATAATTGTGTAGTTTTGAAATCTCCCAAAATTATAGTGAACATTTTTTCCCTTCTATTATATGATCATTCAAGCAATGCTTAATTATAAAAATAAAATTTTCCACCTATTCAATTCCAGAAACTACAGAAAAGAAGTCTTCCAAATAAACCAAATTAACCAATACAAGGTTGCAAAATTGAATGCCATGTGAGAGTTCTACAGTTGGAGTTTACCAAGTACCAATTAATCAGAAAAATTCTTACTTGATCCAGGTTTCTCCACCTCCCTGACGATATGGGTCATCCCGGCCTTATAGCCCAAAAAGGCAGTAAGTTTGCAAGGCTTGTTAGGGTCATCCTTAGGGAAAGCCTTCACTGCAGAAGTCCAAGACACCAACAAAACAAATTAATGACATTTAATTGCGTATAACTCAGTATAACTCAGTGGAACATAAAGTCATAAAAAACCAACCAATGGAGCAAATAGCCTGGAACAATCCAAAAAAATAAAAAATATTCCAAGCGCTTTTCTAATCATTGATATACTATGTGCACATGGAACAGAAGAAGTCACAACAGCATCAGTAATAAAGAGAAGACTATATAATTTAAGAATAAGTGAAAAAAATGATTTAATTGTCCCTGATTCACAAAACACCACATAAAAAAGGTAGCCATATGCATATGCCTGTCTTAGACATGCATGGTAAAATCTACACTCATTTGGTCAGTAAAGCATATGCACAAATAAGTACATAGAAGCACTTTCTTGTACCTAATATCAAGATCTAGGGAATTTGGCTTACCCAAAACCTCATCACAATGTAAAAGCATATCAATCAAGTCAAACACCCATCACAAATTCCAACTCTTGAAAGAGGATATGGGATGAGACACTCAGCCAGAAAATTTGGTAAAGAATTAAAATTGAAGGACAACATGCTAACAAAAATATGAAAAAGTAGGCATCTTAAACCATTTAGAAGAAGTCATAACAGCAGATATACACTTCTAGGAACAACAGTGACTAATAACTAGGAACTTCGAAGTATAATCTCCATGATCTAGTTTATCCAAACACCAAACAAGACCAAAATAAAAGAATCTGAAATCTGTATTTTGAATAATTCAAAAGGGGGAATTGTGAAATAAGAAATATGCTATAAATACCCGCAACTTAGTAAGTTAGAGTAACTTGAGGTATATATATGAAATTCCACCAAGTAGCCAGAGTTAAAAACATCATTTAACAATAAAAGATATATACCTTTTTTATAAACAGGTAAATCAATTGGTTCAAGAATCTAAACAGTGCAGGGACTACATTGGACAGAGATATAAAATTGCCCAAGTATATAATGATATAGTTATAGGAAGAGCCAAAGACATTTTTCATCTTCATTACAGATGGGAAAATGATTTTTTTCATCATTCGGTAAACAATAATGAACTCAAGATAAACTAAATAACTTTCATTAATGAAAACAAATCTACATACCTTTTCCTCGATGGCGAGCAGCACGCTTCCTTGGGAGAAATCCAAGAGACCCATGCCTTGGGTGCTCAAACTTCCTGTGAGACATTCTTCTCCGCCTACACCAGATGAGGGGAAAATCAGTCATGACAAATAATAAATGAATAAACAGTCCATTTATTCAAAATGGAATTGTTCCACGACATCTTATTAGCATAGCCTGAGGCATCAAGCTTCCCAACCCAGAAAATTCCAATACAAAATCATAATTAACAGTAGCAATAATGTGCAGTAGAGCCATGTCACAGATTAATATTAAATTATTACATATAAAACATTGATAATCATGACATAAATTGAATGTCTTATCTATGAATGGTGTTAGCTCATTAAGGCATGCTTAAACATAACCCTCCATTTTAAAAAATGAAAAGCTCACAAAATAGATCTTCTAAACAAACCATGCTTTGATGCAAGCAACCCCACCCACTACTAAAATATGTAAATACATACAAAAAAAAAAAAAATTATAAGTAGTACATATACACAAAATCTAAAACATTGATAATCACACAAATTAAATGTGATAATGAAGTCTTATCTATGAATGGTGTTAGCTCATTAAGGCATGTTTAGACATAACCCTCCATTTAAAAACTGAAAAACTCACAAAATAGATCTTCTAAACAAACCATGTCTTTATGCAAACAACACCATCCACTACCTCAATATGTACATATATACAAAAACTCTTTTCTTATAAGTAGTACATACATATATATATAAACAGAAGTGGTTACGTATTGACATAAAAACAAAAGTGAGCTACATTCAACATCTATGGAGTTTTAAACAGTTTTTATTTCGACCACATATATATTATATACATATGAAAATCTCCGAATCTACGTATATGTACTTTATTGCTTTCAAGGCAATTTAAATAGAGTCATGTAATTGAAAAACATCATAGTAATCAAACAAAAACAAAAATGAAGTAAATCAAGTCCTAATCTAGCGAACAAACAAATAACACTTCCATGAATCTGATGAAAACCATCAAACGGTGTTCCTAGTAAATCAAATGTCCAGCTTAATAGAAAGCATGGATTATATATATATATATATATATATAGAGATATACATACACAAATATATATACATGGAGAGACAGCGAGAGAGAAAGAAGGGACCTGCGCTTTCTGAAATGTAGGGAGATCCGCTTGCGGCGACTCACTCAACCTCCTCAGTAAGGCTGTCTAAAACCCTAGTTCCAAGGCATATATAGTGGTGGAATTTGCACGAAGCATCCCTTACTTTTCTTTAAATTGTATAACACCCCAGTAAGTCCGACCCGATAGACCACAAGCCTTAGGACCTGTTTGGGAGCATTCCTATCAAAATTCAAAAACTCGATTTTACAAATATGTAATCTTAATCCATATATTCATAATTAATTATCCTGGAGTATATTGTAGTATATAAAATTGTATTCCTGTAAAAAAATAAAAATTATACATATTAAATATAAATAAAATAAAATAATTGTATGGTATTAAATTATCACTATGTCCGGTTCAATTTTTATTTTTTAAAATGTCCGGTCTAATTTACTAAATTCTACAGAGGTTTGTTTGCGTCTAGCGGCGGTCTAGGTATCAGTACTTTGAATTAGGGCAGACGTCATCATCACATCCCAATCTCTATAAAAAGTTAAAAACCCAATCTTAAATAAGCACAGCAACCATCTCAGCAAGGGCAGGGTGTTTTTGCTTCTATGATCAAGAGTTGCGATTCTTACGACAAATTTGAGGTTTTGTTGTATAAATTCACATGTGTGTGTATATAGATAGATATATCAATATCGGTATATGTTCATACATGTTAAGTATATTGCAATTGGATCGAAAGAATGATGAAAATCTTTGTGTTAACGCAGCATCATCAATTTGGTGCGGTGAGCGGCACATTCCACACGAGATTTCTGACTTTCTTCTCTAAACTTCTAAATCAAATTACTTTTTATTTTTTCTCTGGTTTTGCTTGAATTTTAGGGAGTGGTTGGTGGACAATTTTGACTGTTTGGTTGATGAAGAAGCGTAGGAAAAGGTAATGAAATCAACAATTTGATAGATGTTCATTCACAGCTTACGTTTAGGGGAAAGAACATAAGAACGCGAAATTTATTTACAGAGAATTTAAGATCTAAGATTTCACTTTTCCTTTCTCCTGTTTTTTTTTTTTCGGTTCTCCTGTTTTCTCAGCTCCCAAACAGGGGGTAAGAAATTAGTGTTTTGTCCACCCTGAACAGTCTAGCTAAACTAGGAATCAATTTGCTGTGGGTGTTTTCTCTTGATTAAAAAAAATAATAATAAAAATAAAAATAAAAAATAGGCATAAAGAAAAAGAAGCTTTGTAGTTAATCTATTACTCCTATTATTCATGGCAGATTTCATTGAGAAATATATTAGCCTTTGCCTTCATAGCAAGCCCTAACGGCCAACTCAGTCTGATTGTGTTTGGTAATCGAGTGAGAACAGAAAGGAATGATTTGTAATTCCTCTTCTTTTGGGAATTCTAGGGGTGGCCTTTTATAAAAATAGAAAAATTTATAACTCTAAAGATAGTTTTCAATAATTCAAAAAATATGAAGGCCTTGCTTCTTTTAAGGAATTCAAAAAATATAAAGGTTTGGCTTGTTACAAACATAACCAAATTGGAGAATAAAAAATTATTTTTATAATTACAAACTAAATATACCACTACTTTCTTTGATATCTTGATTCAATAAGTGAAGATCAATGCCTAGACACAAAGTGAGTGTTTTTGTCGAAGAAAAAAAAAAAAAAAAATCAATAAGTAAAGCACTAAAGTGTATATTTTTGAGTCCCAATATCACAATATAAGAGAACTGAATATTCACCAATTTTCGGAGTTACTTAACCATTGAAGCCATTGATCTTTACCATTGAGGTCATTGATGTGTTTGTAATGGTTGTGTTTCTCTTTTATATATATGTGTGTGTGTGTGTAATTATGGTGTGCTTATATATATAGAGAGAGAGACAAAAAAAACAAAACAGAGAAAAGCAAAAGAGAAAAAAAAAAAAAAAAAAACAAAACAAAACAAAAAAAAATAAATAAATAAAATAAAAATAGGTGGAAACAAGTGATATTATATCAATTGTGAAGGCTTTATAGCCATTACCATCGGCAGACTCTCATTTCTCACGGCCAACTCTCTCTCTCACTAGATTCCTTTTCTTCTTTTCTTTTTTTTTTTTACACCTTCAAATCTTGATTTCTCTTTCATCTTTTGGTAATTTTGAGTGCCGTTTGCGACAAAACGGAGAGCACGGCGAGCTATACACATTTGTACCAAAAATTTCAGCTTTTGGCCATTTTAGGGAGTCCGAAAATTGAGACCCATTTTGAGAGTTTGAGGTGAAAATTGGGGGTTTTGGCTTAAATTGAGGTAGGGGTATTTAATCCACAATCTCTTAGATTTTGGTGAATTATTTTTCATAATTTATGTTTAATTTGTGTTTTAATTTGTGTTATTTTCATATTTGTTATATGTTGTATATGAGATGTGTATATATACATGTTAGTTGTTATGTGATAAAGGACCATGTTAAATTTCATGTCTATATGCTGAATTTTATTATTTTGAAGCATGATGTAAATTCCTAGAATATTCCTATGAGACATGTCTATTGTAAATATTTGACTTGTAAGAAATAAAAATTTCTTTATTGGTATGTCATTGAAATGCACAATACATATATGCATTCATTGGGAAAAAATGAGAAAAATTGATTTGAAAGAAATGAAATGAATTTTGGGAAAGAATTTTGAAAATGATTTTTGTGCAAAACCCGGCCGCTTAGGAGTTGTTTAGGAACTGCGGTGTTAGTGAGGCCAAGAGGGGATTAGGGAGACCGCCCTAGTGCGGTTAAGTTACCTGGGCCCCAAATGATGCCATGGAGTTGTCATGGTTCAGGGACAGTAGCCAATCCTCCTCTCGTGCCGCTATGGAGTTGCCATGGGATGGGTTCACTAACGATTTGAAAATAATAATGGAAATGGTTTTGGAAAAATGGGGAGTGACATTACATGACACGGCATCTCAGTGCATGGCATATTTATTTGTGGTATTGAATTAATGATGTGGTATCGTAGTTATACTTTTACTCCCGGCATGGTATGATCCCAATTTCCTTATTCCTATTCATTGTGTAGATTCACGGGGTCTCAAGAGGTGTGTCTTAGGCACTACCTACTGAGCAACTTTGCTCACCCCTATTATTTTACATTTTTCAGGGCTCTGAAAAGAAGTGGCGGATGATAATCCCCCGCAAGCTTGAAGAAGATTAGGAGTTGTATTTTGTTATCTTTTGTACCTAAGCCCATTTTTTTTGTATTGTCTCAAACTATGTAAAAGAGTATTTATTTTTGCAAATCATGGCCCTGTAGCATAACTAAGATACTTGATTATTTTTATTGTACACTGAGACCATGTAAATGTTTAAGTTGAAGGGGATGACGATGATGTGCTAATTTGGGAAGGTTGATGATGTTGTGGTATTGGGGAATGCATTATATTTCTTTGGTATTGTGTGTTGGGGCGGTTGGATAGGTCTTGAAAGACCGTTGTTTTTTTTTCGTTTGAACAGGTTGTTGTAGCACCATTTTTAGTGGAGATCATGCCGAAATTTTTTTAAAATTTTTATTATTTTCGGTATTTAGTTTAGGGTCGTTACAGTGTTGTTACTTGTTTAGTATGTAATTCACTTTTTGGTTTTTGTTGAGAGAAGTATACTTTTTACGTGACATTTCAGATATAACAAATATTAAATTAAGTTATAAAATAATTAACATTATTTTTATAAATAATTAATTAAATATACAATTATATTTTTAATTAAATATGCAAAATAAAATAATAAATAATAAATAAAGAATCTGAGCTGAGACTAGTATTGAATACTATCTCATAAACTCATGGATACGGGGAACCTCTATGTAGTACTCTCTAACTCAAAAATGCTAAATTTGGTGCAATCCGATCCAAATGGTTCGGACCAATCTTAATATGACTCGATGAAATTGAATTAGGGTTTAAGTAGCTCAGACCACTTGACCTGTGGCTTGAACTCATTTGGAGATCGTTGTGGTATATATATATCTATATCTATACTATTATTAAATGTGCAAAGAGTTACAATATTTCAGTATTTATTTATTAATAAAAAAAAAGAGTTTTTATAAACAAAAAATTACCTAAAAATTATTTAAAGAGTTTAATTCAAATTATAAATTACCTAATAAAATTTATAAAAATTAATTTAAAAAGTTTAATTCAAATTACAAATTACCTAATAAATTCATTTTTCTTGTCTCACATTGGTTTTAAATAAAAAGGATTACATGGAAGCCTTTTATAAAATTATCGACCTAAAGAAATAATAATTACACATTTCTCGACCTTTTAGCTAAGATCAAGTGTACCATTAAATTTTTTTGGTCGGTCTTTTGGCTAAGATCAAGTGTAGTACTACTTTATCGGCCTTTTGGCTAACCTTTCTCGGTCTTTTGGCTAAGATCGTGCTAAGATCAAGTGTATTACTACTTTCTCGGCCTTTTGGCTAACCTTTCTCGACTTTTTGACTAACATCAAGTGAAGTACTAATTTTTTTTGGGTCGGCCTTTTGGCAAACCTTTTTCGACCTTTTAGCTAATATCAAGAGTAGTACTACTTTCTCGGCCTTATTATTACCTAATAAAATTCAAATAAAATATAAAAATTATTACCTAATAAAATTCAAATAAAATATTTATTAAAACTCTAACAAGAAATACATTTCAAATTATAGAAACTATAAAAATTATTACCTAATAAAATTCAAATTAAATATTTATTAAAACTCTAACACAAAACTCTAAAAATTATTCTAACACAAATTACCTATTTATCTATTTATTATGAGTTTTTTAATAAAATAAAATCTAATTTGACAAGTATTATTAATACAAAAATTATTTATTAATTGATATAAAAAAGAGTTTCAGTCTTTCAGTATTTATTTATTAATATAAAAAAAGAGTTTTTATAAACAAAAAATTAGCTAAAAATTATTTAAAGAGTTTAATTCAAATTACAAATTACCTAATACAATTTATAAAAATTAATTTAAAGAGTTTAATTCAAATTACAAATTATCTAATAAAATTCATTTTTTTTTTTTTTTTTGTCCCACATTAGTTTTAAGTAAAAAGGATTACATGAAAGCCTCTTATAAAAATATAGACCTAAAGAAATAATAATCATACATTTCTTGGCCTTTTGCTAAAGATCAAGTGTAGTACTAAATTTTTTTGGGTCGGCCTTTTGGCTAACCTTTCTTAGTTTTTTTGGTTAAGATTAAGTATAGTACTACTTTCTCGGCCTTTTGGCTAAGATCAAGTGTAATACTACTTTCTTGGCCTTTTAGCTAACCTTTCTCACCCTTTTGGCTATGTCATTTTTCAAAAATAGGCCGGCTAAGGACCACAAATACTTCATATATGTAAACACTTCAAACACGTGGCAATAGAAACTTTAAAATCATGACAATACAGGTCCTCATTGAACAGCGGTGACACGAGCATTCTCTAAGCAATTCAATTAATCCAAAGTCCAAAAAATGATGTTAATCTCAGAAAAATATAACAAATGAAATTAAAGAAATTAAGAACTACAAAAATTAAAATAAAGTTAAAAGAAAATGTTATGAAACGTATTAAAATGCTTAGATGAACTATCATAGACAAGGAACATAACAGCTATAGTTATAAGTCTCGCTAGAAGTTAGCAGATATTCCAAAAAATAGAGAAGCATTAAAAGTAATAATAAAAACAGACAATAACGAAAGAATACAAGTCACCATCTTAATGCCATCTGGATGGGTGTAGTAAGGCAGGATGTAAACACATCAGCAGGAAAATCAGCACTCTGAGGAAGAGTATTATGTGCCTCGCAGGCTGCAAGCAGAATGCAATCTCTTGTGGATGGTCCAGAGGAGCTAGATGCTAAGATAAAGTGTAGTACTACTTTCTCGGCCTTATTATTACCTGTTAAAATTCAAATAAAATATAAAAATTATTATCCAATAAAATTCAAATAAAATATTTATTAAAACTCTAACATAAAAATCTAAAAATTATTCTAACACAAATTACCTATTTATCTATTTATTATGAATTTTTTAATAAAATGAAATCTAATTTGGTAAGGATTATTAATATAAAAATTATTTATTAATTGATATAAAAAGAGGTTTTAAAAAAGTTTCTATAAAACTCTAACATAAATTACCTATTTATCTATTTATTAAGAGTTTTTTAATCAAAGAAAATCTAATTAGACAAGAATTATTAATATAAAAAATATTTATTAATTGATATAAAAAGAGATTTTAAAAGAGTTTCTATTAAACTCTAACACAAAATATATTTTAACTCTAACACAAATTATAGAAACTCTAAAAATTATTACCTAATAAAATTCAAATAAAATATTTATTAAAACTCTAACACGAAATACATTTCAAATTATAGAAACTCTAAAAATAATTACCTACTAAAATTCAAATAAAATATAAAATTTTGTTACCTAATAAAATTCAAATAAAATATTTATTAAAACCCTAATACGAAATATATTTCAAATTACCTAATAAAATTCATAAATTTTAATTTAAACAGCATAAAAATTAATTAAAAGAGTTTAATTCAAATTACAAATTACCTTATAAAATTCATTTTTCTTATCCCACATCAGTTTGAGTTATAAATAATTAAATAGAAACCTCTTATAAAACTATAGACCTAAAGAAATAATAATAACACCTTTTTCGGCCTTTTGGCTAACCTTTCTTAACCTTTTGGCTAAGATCAAGTGTAGTCTTACTTTCTCGGCCTTTTGGATAACCTTTCAAATTATTTAAAGAGTCTAATTCAAATTACAAATTACTTAATAAAATTCATAAAAATTAATTTAAAGAGTTTAATTCAAATTAAAAATTACCTAATAAAATTCATTTTTTTTGTCCCAGTATTTCAGTATTTATTTATTAATATAAAAAAAGTGTTTTTATAAACAAAAATTTACCTAAAAATTATTTAAAGAGTTTAATTCAAATTACAAATTACCTAATAAATTTCATTTTTCTTGTCCCAGGTTAGTTTTAAGTAAAAAGGATTATATGGAAGCCTCCTATAAAACTATAGACCTAAAGAAATAATAATCACACTTTTCTCGACCTTTTAGCTAACCTTTCTTGGCCTTTTGGCTAAGATCAAGTGTAGCACTAAATTTTTTCTTGGCCTTTTGGCTAAGATCAAGTGTAGTACTAAATTTTTGTGGATCGACCTTTTAGCTAACCTTTGTTGGTCTTTTGGCTAAGATCAAGTGTAGTACTACTTTCTCGGCCTTTTGGCTAAGATCAAGTATAGTACTACTTTCTCGGCCTTTTAACTAAGATCAAGTGAAGTACTAATTTTTTTTGGACCGGCCTTTTGGCTAAGATCAAGTGTAGTACTACTTTTTCGGCGTTAGTATTTCAGTATTTATTTATTAATATAAAAAAAAATATCTAAAAATTATTTAACGAGTCTAATTCAAATTACAAATTACCTAATAAAATTCATAAAAATTAATTTAAAGATTTTAATTCAAATTACAAATTACCTAATAAAATTTATTTTTCTTATCCCACATTAGTTTTGAGTTATAAAGGATTATATAAAAACCTCTTATAAAACTATAGACCTAAAGAAATATTAATCACACATTTCTCGGCCTTTTGGCTAACCTTTCTTGGCCTTTTGGCTAAGATCAAGTGTAGTACTAAATTTTTTGGATCTGGTCAACTAGAGTAGCTTACTACTTTAGTGATCCTATCATTTCCTTGGTGTTGCACTACTACCCAGTTTTGGTGCACCCTCCAAATCAAAATGTACCTAATAAAATTCATTTTTTCTTGTCCCACATTGGTTTTGAGTTATAAAGGATTACATGGAAGCCTCTTATAAAATTATAGACCTAAAGAAATATTAGTCACACCTTTCTCAGCCTTTTGGCTAACCTTTTTCGGCATTTTGGCTAAGATCAAGCGTAGTACTAAATTTTACCTTTCTCGGCCTTTTGGCTAACCTTTCTTGGCCTTTCGGCTAAGATCAAGTGGAGTACTAAATTTTTTTACTATAGAAAAAAAGTTTTTATAAAAAAAAATTACCTAAAAATTGTTTAAAGAGTTTAATTCAAATTACAAATTACCTAATAAAATTCTTAAAAATTTATTTAAAGTGTTTAATTCAAATTACAAATTATCAATATATTTCAAATTATAGAAACTCTAAAAATTATTACCTAATAAAATTCAAATAAAATATTTATTAAAACTCTAACACGAAATATATTTCAAATTATATATAATACTAAAGAAATATTAATCACACATTTCTCACCTTTTGGTTAACCTTTCTCGGCCTTTTGGCTAAGATCAAGTGTAGTTTT